TTGATAGGGTGCCTCGCGAGCACATGTGGCTTCGGTTGCAGGAGAGGGGGATTAGCGGCCCCATGCTAGGTGCTCTGAGAAAAGCGTACGAGAAGGTGTCCATGGTGATGAAGGTAAATGAGAAAGTGGGGGGGGAGTTTGAGTCTAAGCAAGGAGTGAAGCAAGGGTGTCCTTTATCTACGGAGTTGTTTGGACTCTTCATCGAGACACTAGCCGATCTGATTGATACTCATGACCTTGTAGAAGCTGGTGCACGTAAGTGTGACGCACCCCTTGTGGACAGCAAGCGCGTCTCCATACTGTTGTATGCAGACGATGTTAGTCTGCTAGCGACGTCAGTAGAGCGAATGTCTGAGTTGCTACATCTTGTGGACTTGTTTTGTGAAGCTTTTGGGATGCGACCAAATGTCTCAAAGTGTGAAAGGCTTGTTTTTGCATGTGACGGCACCCAGCAGTCGGAACTTAGCGGGAGATGTCAACAGTTACGGCTATCAGGCCAGGTAGTACCTGCCAAAGATAGCGCTCGCTATCTGGGCTTGGTATATGGGCCAGAACGGCCTTTTAGTGCGTGCCGTCAGCAGTTGTGTGATACAGGTCGGTCCGCTATGTTTTCCTTAAGCGCAAAGCTGGACAAAATGAAGCTGTTTGCCCCCGATGTGCGAATGCGGTGTTTTGCAACCCAAGTCCGAGCAATTCTGTTGTATGGCTGCCAGGCGTGGGGCCCTTTTGCGCTGGCAGAGGTCGTGGACAGGGCGGGAAGGCGTCGGGATAAAGCCAACCTTGCGGAGGGCATGTTCGAAGCCTGTTTGAAGGATAGTGCAGTCCAGCTGCAGATTTTATTCATGAGGCAGGTAGTGGGGACGGCACGGCCATCCCACAGGCTGTTGTACGCGGAGCTGGCTGAACTTCCCTTACAATATTACATGGTGAAGCAGATTCTCCGTTTCTGGAACCGCCTTCAAAAGCAAGTGGGATCCATTGCTCATGCAGTTTTACGGCAGGAGATAACCGATGCCCTGACCAACCCGGAATGGGAGGGTTGGGGAATCTCAATGTTACGACTGTTTTCCTTCTTGGAGTGCAACATTTGGAGCGGAATACCGCAAGAAGTCGTGGGGGTAAAGGAGCGTGTTGACTGGTTGTTGAGTAGACCTCTACCAGAAGGAGTGATAATAACGGCACTAAGAGAGCGTTTGATGAGCGGCTGGGACCATACGCGTCTGACTGTCTTGCCAGAGGAGTACCCATCAGATGGGAAGCAACCGGGAGTGCAAATGGCGAAGTATAAGCACTGGATGGGGCTGCCCTTTTCGGGAGCCGCAGCCGTCATGTGGCCAACACATGCTAAGGTTTTCATTCCTCGTTTAGCACATCGTAAGCTAATGCAGTTTCGTTTATGTTGCTGGGCTTTGGAGGCGAACAGAGCACGAAGGGGCAAGTACCATGTCCCCAGGGGGCAGCGGTTTTGCCACTGTTGTGGTCCTAATAGCCGAATTGAGGATGAAAAACACGTGTTATTGGAATGCCCAGCCTATAATGATATTCGTGCTGAAGAGGGATTCGATCATCAACAGAGTATGTTGGAGGCCATGCAATGGGAACCCGCACGCCTGGCGAGGATGTTGGAACGTATGTGGGCTCACCGAAACTCAATTACCCCCTTTGAACGCTAGTCTGGGCTGATGTGCGGTGTTTTTTCTTTTCTCCGTGGCTTTTAGGCGTTGTAGTATTGCCCTTGGGCCTTCGGCTCGTATGGGTAGTCTTACAGGTATGGGGTCACGCACCCCCAACCATGTAACACACACACACACATTTCCCAGGGCGGTGGTGATCAAGATCAGAGCAATCCACAATTTTATCTCTTACCGCGTGGATATCTTGAGACAAACCCCGCGTGGCCATCTTCTTAAGACTGTTGAACATCTTCAAGGCCTTGGAAGTGGGCTCCGGCTCCTCCATATCGTCTTTGGTTTTCTCGGCGTTGGCTTCAGCATCGGCAGCCTTCTGCGCCGCCCTACGCTCCGATAAATACACGAAAGATATTCTAAAGGGTGACACTAGACAAGACGGGTACGAGGAAAAGTGTGCAGCTGCACGGCACCAAAATGGATAGCCAGAAGCAAACTGTCGCAAAACTACATATGTACGTGCTAACCCGAGCATCTCGCCACTCATCTACAGGAAGCGAAACTGAATAATCTGATACTTATTATTATAATTCGGCATGCATCCAGCATTATTATCAGTGCGCATCGCCAATGGATCTCGTGATTATCTCGTACATACCTTTCCATGTCGCGTTTTACGGCCCAACGTAGCAGTGGAATGCCAGGGAAAGCTGCCAGTAGCATGCAAGCAGCGGCAATGCACGCCGCAACCCAGGCGGCCTTGTTGCTTTCCCAGTGCGCCACATTCTTAGCGCCCTTGAAGATCACAAAGAACACGCTGCATTCATTCAGGGGCGGGGAGGAGGTTGTTCAGAGCGAGGCGACGAAATAAGACTGTGTCCACCGACAAGGGAGTTAACATACACGCACAGTCCTTGAAGAACGCACATATACATACATACATACATACTCGGTTCGTTCGGTCGGCAGGAAGAGCCCCCCAGTTGCGACTTCGTTTATGTTAGGAGACCAGCGGGCATAGATCCCGTCTAGTTGGAACGCCAAACGAGCGCTGTTGTATATACACGACTACTTACTTGATAAATACCGTGATGCCTACCAGGACAGGGTACATGTAGATAGCTGCGGATCAAAAAAGGATAACGCAGGTTAGTTGCAAATTCCTCGGTGCAGCTGGCACCATGCGATGTTACATGGGGTTAGTAGTGAACCACCAATATAATGACGTCAGCAGGAAGTTAAAACCTTGCTTTGTACACGTAAGGCGGCGGCGGCCGCTCTGTCGGTACAAGTTGAATCCGTTATGCCTCACCTGATAATGAGCTGGTAGGGTATAATAGTAAGGCATCAAGCTTTGACTAATGTTTGTTCAATTCTTCGGCATCTTTGCATGAGCATGCTCATCATATCGGTACGGTGGGTGAAGAACGCGCGCGAAAGGCACATCAAACCGGAACTCCCCAACTTTGAACGAATTTGATACATACAGATAATCCAAGGGTTTGGACATCCGTCAGTAAATTATGGAGGTCCATTAGTAACCCATTATTAATCCTTAATGCTGATCCATATGTCAGGATGACGACGAGGGCTGTTTTACGCGTGCTAGCTAATTGGGAGAGCGACCTACCCAAATTCGTGCTGTTTTCGCGGCGAAGGATAACGCCCCGATTTAGAGCAAAGAGGAAGGACGCGACGATGCCCGACATGATGGGCGAGACGAACCACGAGCAGATGACCGGCACCAATCCCTGCGCGCGCGCGTTCCAGCGTTAGTAGCATGTGCAATATATCTTCGTGAGTCTGGAACCCTCTATAGAAACCACGAACACAATATGTCTGGAGTCGAACAGCCGCCTGTTGAATCCGTACTATGAATTCATATAATCGTTAGCTAATATACCTAACATCAGCACCGTTACGTACGTCGGAAGACTTTTCTTGGTCTACATGCGGATCGTGTCGCGGTGTATTCGATAGGGACTGTCCTCTTTCTATTATCCTAGGGCGCGATCTTGAGATAATTAAAGTTTTACAGGTAGACTTAAGATGAGATACTTGACGAGTGAGAATTCACCCCGCCCTGTGGAATGACTGCTTCGACAGGTATTAGGTCCACAAATAAATATATAATGTATAGCTGATGTGGTTCTCACCTTCGAGTAAGGAAACTCCTGATGCACGCAGAGCCGTGATCGGATCCCGATCCGATGATTCGTTGCCAGGGGCAGCGGATAGGATGTTGGGTGGGGGCGGGAGGGGCAAGTGATGATGAGATGCGCCGGGGATCACACAGTTTTTGACTTGTGAGCCGAAACAAATGCCAGCCTTTAGGAATTTACCGTTATGTGGTCATTCCAGACGATGGCACCGCTGCCACCCCAAACCAAGCCGAAGCCCATGATGGCACCAACTGCAATAACCAACAGTGTTGTACATGAATTAGCATAGCTTCGCTCGGCGGCCCGTACATTATTAGGTAAGGACCCAGTCACAGGAATAAGGTGCTCCTGACGTGTTTAACTTACTAACAGAGTGTGTAGTGCTAACGGCGAGGCTCCAGTACGTAGCAAGGAATACCCATGATGACGCGGCAATGAGGGCCACCGTCATGCCGTACCTGCATGAACGGGTGTTTGTAAGGATAAGGGGAAGGTGCATCCAAGGAGAATCTCTCTAGCAATATCCAATACTCACGCAAAAATTTCGGGCTCCGCTTGGAATGCAGCGGGCCGTGCTATGGAGCCTGCAATAGTTTTTGTCACTTCGCCGCCCAGGCCAACAGCCCCAGCAAATTCAAAAACGGCGGCGATCAAGCAAGCCTGCTTGAGCGTAATAGTCTTGGCGCCGACAGATGTACCGAAAGCGTTTGCAACTGTAAAGCCGTAAAACACGGACCAAAAAAGTGGTTAAGAATTCAAACATATTTTGTAAGCATTCGCCACTTTGAGATGTTGACTGGTTTAATAGGCTGAAACGTTGGCATAACTTATGTCCGACGACAAGGAACGCAGCCAAGACACAAATTCACAATTACGCCTGAAACTACGCCGTCTACCTCTTACCGTCATTTGCGCCAATGCCAGCAGCCATGATGAATGACACCACGAAACCAACAATGACCAGCCACTGCGGACGCGGCAGGGGACAAATTGAAGGTGGAAGCTCGTTTCCTAAATAATCATACGCTTTCATTTTTTCTACTTCGTCATGTTAACGACGAAGTGGATCAATTCATCCAATTGCACTCGCGCCGGCAATTGGCCGATTCGGCGCGGCGGTCTAGCAATAACCTTGCAAAAGCGCCGGAAATTACTCACGGTAGCGAAGCATTCAACTTACCATATAATCATCCCAATGATTTGGATACATCTGCAGATTAGCGAAGAGAGGTGGGACGCGGACGGGTTTAGCCTGTCCGATAGCGTAGCACCACTGACTTCGCTTCCCCCGAAGCTGCCTACCTTGCTTCCCTGTTGTAATATATTCTCCTTTCAGTTTCCAGGCGTGGGCGCTTGCTGGTAGGTTATGTCGTCCAACAGGTTCCGTGCAGGCGCGCAACGAAAGCTTTAGATAGGTAACAGATTATATAGACCTGTCGTGTCGTTAAAACATCGAGTTCATATACAGCATAATTCGTTTTTTCGCTTGTTTTGATGCTTCACGTGCAAAGGATAAAACCTGCCTGCCGTACCGGGGGATAAGCATATTCGCCATGCGTACAAAATTAAGAAACCGATTAAGATTCCATTACCTGACGAAGTGCGGCAAATATGTGCACGAATTTCAGGATGAAGCTTTGCATTTTGACCGTGTACTATTTCCCAGTAACTTATCCTGGGTTCGTAGATTACGGTTGACGAGCCCGAATATGTCCCCGCCAGACACCTGCAAAAGGAGTATTTCAGGTTTTGATGACAAGTCCACTTCTGTATTACCCGTCCATATGAGCCCATAGCGCGGTCTTAGCTCGCGACCGCAACATGTACTGTCGGCTCCGGCCGTCGGGCGGTCCTTCGGGCTGCAGAGGAGCTTTCGTAAACGGCAAATTGTCCTACTTCTGCAATCGAGTCGGTTACGTATCTCTACTCCTGATTTTCACTTGCTCCAGCAGCAAGGTCCTGATGCATGCATACATTTTGGATACTAGGGTTTCGGGGGTGTTTCCACTTGGATTAAAAGTCGCGGATTAAGGCTTAATCCGTCGCATATGGAAACATCGCGCGGATTAGGACGGATTAGGCGGGCGCGATTAGTGGAGAGATTTCCGCCCGTATTCACGCGCTTCGCGGATTAATTATAGATACACATGCTATGAAATGCGAGCATTATTCCTATACTAAAAGCTAAAACTTGGTGAGAAACATTTGCTACCTAGTGGCCACCAGGTATCAAATTGACAATCTCGGATTAACACTTTTCACGACGCCTCATAAAAAGCCTGATTGATATGTTGGAAGGTTATCCTTTATAAAGGCTGTAGGTTTCAAGTGTTCTGTGGAAGCTTTGTGCTTCTTGTTCGGCATTATGCACCACACCGTGGGTGTCGTTCAAATGTGCTGCAAGGCCTTCATGTTGATACTCGATAGTCTTTTAAATGTCTGGCAATCCTCGTTTTTGCATTTTATGCACGGAATGGCAAATGTCGTACTTCAATCCGTTTCTTAACCTAGACCAGAGGTCGGCAAATCGGTTTCTACGGCTGCGGGAGGGCATAATTTCGATCAATAAACCTAAAAAAAATTTGCGCCTTCCGGCGCCAAAAGAGACAGCATTTCAGGGCCCCACGTTCTGTACACATTGCAGGCCGATCGTTTTACAGGGTGGGGACAAGGGGACGTTGCCAAGCAAGTTCTTGCGCCATGCAGTTAGTGTCGCCCCCGAGCTATTCATCCTCACAAAGCCGACCGCATGCGGTTGAAGCGCGGGTCGTGAAGGATATTCTCGACCTTATCGGCGATGTGCGTGTAGAGGTGCATCCTAGTGGAGGACTTGTACTTGGCCATTGCCCCCTTCAACATTGCATCCTCCTTCTTCAAGGACCCCGACATACTCAGCTTCACAAGAAGACCCTCGTTGAGCTTAAGCCGGTGATGTTTGGTACTATAAGCCAGTCCATGTATTCACAGATCGTTGGGAAGTGAGTGAAAGGCATGGCTTGGTACAGGACCATGTATGCGCCACAAAACAGAGCCAACAAGGGATTGTCGGCAACCTCGGTCATGGCCAGGTGCTTGTCAGTTTGCTGTTGCTGCTGGTCCTGCGTGTACTGGTCATCAGCCGCTTTGTGGGAGTGGGAGGCCTCGTGCCGGGTGTAAGCTGAGCGATCCCAGTTCGTGCGGGAAATGGTGATTTTACTCTCCTTATGCGTGTCGCAAAAAAAGTCGTCGAGCCCTGAAGTGCATAGGCACAGCTCTTGAAATCACCACCACAAGCGTCAGTCAGCCAAACAATGTCCTCGTTGGGAATATGAGGCTGCTCAAACCCCGGGGGCACACCAACGGCATCGATCTTATTGGTGGACTTGGTGCGCTTCCGTTGCGGGTTGGCGGTGGCATTGGGGGTGGCGGGGGGCAGGAGTGTTGCCGGCTGCTGTTCGGGGGCGGTGGTGTTGGGGTTGGCGGGCAGGAGAGGTGCTGGCTGCTGAGTGGGACCGGTGGCGGCGGTGTTGGCTTGAGTGCGCCTTTTCTTCTGTGGAGGAAGGGCCACAGTGCTGGTGTTTCCGGAGATGGGAGGTGGTGGTGCTGGGAAATGCAGACCTGGAGCTTCACCGGTGCTGCCCGATGGCCCAAGTAACGGCTCTTCCGCTACAATTTATGTTGCTGGGGGCTCAGCAGTGGCTTTACGACCGGTCAGCATGCCGGCCAACGTGAGTTGTCGACCGCTGGAGATGCTGCCGACATGCCGCGGTCAGCAGTTAAAAGTATGCTGAAAATACAAGCAATGTGATGAACATGGTGTAAGGTAATGCGTCTCTAGTTCATGGACGGTGATGACCGGGGATAAAGTTAACCTGCGAGCCGACCAGGAATGGAGTTGGGCCGCTGTCGACCCGGCAGATTCCGTTGGATGCTGGTGGTGGGTGCGGAACCTGAGCGATCCACTGAGAAGTTGACTAGGGTAACTGGATAAGGGTGCCCCGAAATACCGGGGAAGGAAGGGTTTCGCAGGGTAGCTACCACGGGCGAAGATATACCCCCCTGTTTCACACATCTTGGATGTAAACATGCGGCGCGATACTTCTGGCACAAAACAGTACCTTCGCTTCATTGCAAGTTGGGAGCTTAGTGCGGTGCCTATTGCCGGGTCGCGCGCTTACACCAAGCCTTGTAACATGCTACATTCTCCGATCCCTCAGCGTCCTACCTCTTATCAGCGGCGGTCCCCAGGATCACCATCTAGAACTTACACACACACAGTACATAGAACCCCAAACGCATCAGCATCCAGTATGATGGCCAGCCCCTGCTGCTGCCGCCATGCCAGACTGCAGGAGGCCGTATAGGACGACGGAATGGTGTAATCTATGGCCCCGTCGGTACACGAGTACACGTCCTTGGCGCCACCCACATCCAAGTTGTCCTCTCTGCAGCATTAACACACTTGGTGGCCAACCTGGCCCGCGGCCACCTCCCACCAGCCTCCACCTCCACCAGCAGCTGTCTACCTCTGCGTGGCGACCTCGAGGGGTCGGGGAACGCTTTTCCCCTCGTTTGTGTAGCAGCCTGCCGTACGCCGCATTGCCAGAGACCTCCAAACTTCGCTTTCTCAAAGGTTTGAAGTCTGCCAGCGACAGCTGATTTAATTAAGAGGGAGGCGGCCCTCGATACTGCCAGGTGTCAAATGGCAGTTTCGAGATGGGCCCCATATGGAAATGGCTGTGCTGGAGGCTGCTGTGAAGCGGGTGAAGCGACTGCGCTACATGCCTTCCTCTCCTGGTGTGTGTGAGTGTGCGTGGGGGTGGGGCGCCCTGGACCCCAGGTTCGTTGCGAGTAAAGGTAGTGGGCTGCTTTGCAATGATGGGGTGCTTTGCGGCTTTCGCTCTGGCACATTTTTGTCTTTGTTGATGCGGCTGCAGCCTTGAGGTTTTTGGTTCCTTTCCTTCCGCCCGGATTGTTTGCCTGTCGAAGTGTCCGAGTCTCTGCTGCCGCACGCCCGTTTCCTACTGTCTGTCTGCCTGCCGATATCCGTGTATCTGACGGCGAGAGGGCGACCTATGAAGGGACGGTCCCCTGCACCCCACCAGTTCCCGAGCCCCACCCCTTCCGGCTACTCCCAGGAGTGTGCAGCCCCTGAGATTGCGGATAACCGAAAGGCGACAACCTTTCCCAAAGGAGACCAAGTCAGAGACGGTACATAGCCGATGGCGGGCCTCGGGGTACACAGCTGAATTCACAGGTCGCATTTGCGTGCTTTAACGCACGTCCCTCTCTCTCTCTCCCCCACTGCTGGAAAAAGGAGGAAACAGCGACACCCCCTCCTCACGCCCCTCCCTCTCTCCCATGGTTTCGGCGAACCCAGCTTCTTCGGGGTTGATATCTTCCCCTGAGGGCTCTCCGGCCCCGGGGGGGGGGAGAGAGAGGATAAATTACCCCCACCCAGCCCCAGACCACCATGGCCAGTGTGAGGCCACCCTGTGAGATAACGGTAAGCAAACAGACAAACAGATAAACATACACGCACAACCCATCACGGATGCCGGAGTGCAACAATCCACAAGGAAGTCGTCCCTGGCCCCTGCTGGCTCCTCACGAGCCTCTGGGATCCGGGTGACTCTCCTGGTGGGGGGGAATGGTACTCAGCTGCTGGCAGGAGAGGCTGTCCCTCGGGTCCACTCAGTGAATCTTGAGGTGTCGCTCGAACATCTTCACTCCCGTCCAGGATACGGCAGCCGTGGTTGCGGTCAGCAGCAGCCCAACAACCAGCGTGATCACCTGAGTCTGCGGTGGGCGGTGTGGTTGGCGGTATTATCAACAGCAAGGAGGAGGGGGGAAGGCGGGAGAGTAGTGGGGGGTGAGGAATTATGGAGCATATCAGGGGACTTGTAACATACGCACATACACACCGTTTCCCTTCCCCATGTTGTTCGATCCGCAATGTTGTCCGACTATCCCCCCGTCTCTCCCCACCGCCACGCCGCACCGCACCGCACGCACCGTGTCAGCCTCCTCCTGGAATATGGTGAGTTTGGGTGTCTTCTCTGGCCAGTTGGACTCCGCCCACAGCGGGTCCGGGGGCCACTGGTAAGCCGCCTCCCAACTCGCAGAGGCGCTGCTGACCGACCAGCGCCACCACTGACCCACTTTGCCGTACGACAACCTGCACACAACACACACATATACACACACGCACTAAGAAACAGCGCTCAATCCATGGAGAAAAGCAGCAGCATTGAAAAGTTGCGTTTAAAAAATTGAAAAGTTTTGTCAGCATGCAACAGTCGCATCCGGTGTGTGGAGAATGCGCCGAGGAAAGGCGGAGGAGGTGCGACACTGCAATGGGCCTGATCGTCACTCGGGACCGCCGCCACCATCACTCCTCCATTCCTTATACACCGCACCAGTATGTCCGTACCGTGTGCTGTACGCCGGTACGAAGCTCGTCGTCGTGTTACGGCAGCGACCCATGCCCGCAGGGTCCTTGCTGCCGTACCGCCAGCCGATGCAGGCGTACGGCAGTGGACAGCGATTGACGCCCGGGTCGCACAGAGCCCCGTCCCAGGAGCTCGTGTTTGAGGTATTGGACGGCGGTACGGCAGTTATCAACCCCAGGTAGTTGAAAAGGAATCGTGGGAGGTTGGGTTTCAGGCTGCGGGGGGTTTTGTCGGGGGTGCAGGACAGCAGCAGGGCGTGTGCAGCAGGTCAGACCTTGCCAGAATCAGGACTCGGGAGTACGGCACTGGAAGGGGGGCAGTTTCACCTCTAAGGGGGGAGTTGCATCACCTCCGATGCATAGGGAGGTTCACATGCACCCGCACATGAACTTCCAAAGCACCCACCCCTCACACCAACGGGAAACAGCCAACAGGGAGCATGACAGCGGCAGCAGGCGCCGCATAGAGGACAAGGAGCCAGCGAAAAGGTTGTCCTCCAACTCCCAACTCGTCCGAACAAGAATGTTCGTTTTGCAGCGAAGCAATCAATCAAAACATCCTCCAGGAGCTGATCCAAAAATCCGATCGTTGTAGGGTTGAGGCGGCAGGCGAGGAAAAACATCCAAATGAAAAGTAAAGCTAAGGGAAAAACCCCTTAGTAGTAGTACAACCGCTGCAACCAAACCCTTTATTACTCAGAAAATTATTAGGACAGCGAGAGCGGATCCGGAACCGCAGGACTGCTATGAACTACATGACCCCCTGTCTGTTGCATCTCTCCATTTTCCGGAAGTCGACAACCCTTAGTAGGCAGTCCGGTTCCTCCGACGCCTGTGTAAGGCTCCCCCCCTCCGCGGTGCTCACTAGGGGTCCTTGGGGTTAGCCGCCGCCAGCCAGCCCAGGACACCGGGGTAGGCCCCGACGGCGGCGGAGAGGGAACCGTCGGAAAACAGCATAATGTCTGACGACGGAAGGGAACAGAGGCGAGGGCGGAAAAGGACGGGGAAAGGTGTTAGGGAGGAAAGGGTTGTGGAAAGACATGCCGGCAGCCGCAGCTACAGCTGCAGCTACAGACGCGGCCACATTTGTACGTTGGTTTTAAGGTGCCTTACCGGAGGGTTTCCCCCCTTAGCCAAACCCCCAGCCCACCCATCCCCGCTATCACCCGCCTACATACACACACACACACACCTGGCGTCATCAACTCCGAGGCCAGAGGACACTGCAGCCCAGGGGATTGCGTCATCAGACAGTAAACCAAATTGATGGCCAGAGCCCGGTCTGTAAACAGAGTCGTGTTGCTGGTGGTGATATTGGTGCTGGCGGCGGTGTTGCCGATAGCCAGCGAGTGCAGAGTGCGGGCCAGCAGTAGGGACGCGTCTACAATAGCCTGGGAGGTGGGGTGGGGGGTGGAGACGCAGCCGGGCGTTTTTGGGGGGGAGAGAGGGAACCTATCAGCCAATTCTGTCCAGGTTCCTCAATTCACCGCCGCCAGGCCGGCAAACACATTCTTTCCCAGCTTACGTCACCGCTTTCTCAACTCACGTCAGCTTTTTGCCCTCCGCTGCCTTTACACCTACCTTTTAAATATTACGGATGATTTTCCGATCAGATCTCTTTTCGCACTTTGTCCTAATCTCGGCGGCCAGGCAGGTAGTTTTCCGCTATCGTCATGATGACGTCATCACGAGGACTTAGGGTTTTTAGGGTTAATACAAGCGCCGACTGGTTAGTTACGCTTCCCTTACTTCTGGCGCATCAGTCTATCAGCTTGGCATCAGCTTCACTCGTTCACGTGGTTCGTCTTTCCCCCTCCGCCACCACCACCACCACCATCAACAACAACAGCGCAGCCAGGCGAAAAGCCACAGGTCCCCAACCCGCCTCGCCTACTTTTTCCCCTCTCCCACTTCAGGCTCCCGCCAACCGCCCACCGCCGCGCACACGCACACCTCCAACATGGCCCCAATGGTGTTGGTGCCGTCGTCGAACTCGCTCTGGTAGTAGGGGTTCTTGAACGCCGTGTCGAAGTCCGCAACCAGCAGGCCCGACAGGGAGCTCTTGACCCTCAGGAAGGCCATCAGTGAGGAGGGCGGGATGCCGGGGGTGTCGGGACTGGCCTGCTGGACACGGATCTGCTGGCAGATAGACAGACGGACAGACAGCCAGATGGGAGTTTTGGGGGAGTGAACAAACGGAGAAGGATGGTAATGCGGCTGCTGCTGTGATAATGGAGGTGATCATCATCATCTTCATAATCATCATCACCACCACCCACACTAACCCACTACCACCCACCCGGGAAGGCTCGGAGGAATTCGAAGAGGTGTTTGTTGACGGCGCCGCTGCCGCCGCCGTTGCGGCTTCTACGAGCGCCGTCGTATTGCCGTACTTGTCGCCTTTTTGTGTATGAAGGTAGAAGGTGGAGGTATTGGTGGCTGGGTTCCATGCGGCGCCGATTTGCCCGACCTCCACCACCTCCGCGGCGTTGGGAGGTGCGGGATCGGGATCGGTTTGAGCGGACGATGTGCATGAAAGGGTTTGGTTTTACGGATTTGGTTGTGCGCAGGGGACGAGACGCGGAAGGCAGTGCGGGTGTGCGTATGCGCATAACCAAACATAACGCCAAGGTCACCAAACTTGTCAGGAAGTGAAAATATGTGAGACACAATGTGAAAATACAGCAACACGAGACAGAAAAAGAGAAGAGAGAGAGAGAGAAATATATATAAATAGAGAAAAATATACTATATATATATAGAGAGGAAACGGCTCACAACAGATCATCTGCAAGAAGGGCGACTGCACAAACCCTGTTTTCGATTCGGTTTTCGCCTGGTACCAGGAAAATATAGCAATAAATGAGCGCGCGACATCTCGAGCATCTCAAAGAAGCGAAATTTCTTTCGTCTAACGAGATGGCTAAGCACCATCATTTCATGTGCATATGATGATTTGTCCTGAACTGTGTTTGTTTGCCGCCAAGAGGATTTAAATTTGAATTTGACATATGCTGACTTGTGGGTTTAAATTTAAACCAGTCAAACCCCCCCAACTGATTTATTCCTCCTCTTCGAAACCGGGGTGGATCTGGTCAACGGTGGCGATACCCCAGCAGAGCACACCTGGTCAATAAGATCTAGCCTCAAGCCCTGTACGAACGTCGAGTTCAAATTCATCTCGTACAGCAGCCGCTTACTGCCCATGTAGTCAAACGCCTCACCTGCGTTTGCGAAATGCGTACGGCAGAGGGTTTGGTACGAGCTTAGGACGGGCACGTGAGGGCGGGGCCGGGGGCGGGGGAGAGGGCCGCGGGGAATGAGGCCGCCCGCCGGGAGTGAGGTCAGCGGGTAACTTGAGCAGATATACTCAAGCACCGGCTTTCCCTCCCCCCCGTCAAAAACCTTAAAACCTCCATCAACCACCCGTCACCCCAACCAACAACTCCACAAAAAGGACTTTGATACCTGGAAAAGGAGGACGGGCCCCCCAAGGGCGTGCCTGAGACAAACCCAGCCAACACACCCATACATACACCCATACACACACCCATACACATACCCCCCCACACACACATGCACTCCCACTTCCCCCGCACCCGGGAGTGCGACAAACGCCAGTTGCCGGCTGTAGCTGGCCGTATCGTTGGCTGTAGCGAGCAGTGTCAGAGCTACCAGTGCGGATATGAGACCGGAAACGGAGGTGCCGGCGCCCTGGGGTGGGTGCGTATATGTATATGTGTGAGTATGTATGTATGTATGTATGTATGTATGTATGTATGTATGTATGTATGTATGTATGTATATGAAAGGTGGAGGATAGGAGAGGGGGGTGGACGGGGGGGGGAGGGGTGGGAGGAAGACCCTATCCATCCTTCCTGGCTGGTGGCATTATTCCTACACCAACCCCTCCCCCCTCCTCCTCTCCCCCTCCTCCCCCCCTGCCCCCGCAAGCAACCCACCCTGGACAGCTCGTGAAATAAGGCGTTACTGTCCATTTGCGCCACCAGTAATGTGATGGGCCGGGGGGAGGTGGTGTTGTAGGAGGGGTCGGGAAGAGCGGGAAGAGCGGTCCAAACACCGTAACTGCCCACCTGCAATCGGACATACGTACACACACAAGCGTACATTTGGCCTGGACATGCATACAGGCGGACATATACGCATGTGTTCAGGATTGGCCCACGTAGTACTCATTTGAGAGGGAGGAGAAGAGGATCCCCCCGACCTTTAAAACGGCCCGGCAGGGGCCCCCTTACCCCGGGGTCAATAAAACCCCTAAACCCCCAAAACCCCAACTCCCCCCCAAACGACAGCCTTCCCCCCCCTCACCGGAAGACACGTTTGCTCAGTTATGCATTGTACGGAGTTCCCTTTGGCGGACATGGGCACCTCAAATCGAGCCACGTGACGGCCTCCCTGTAGCGGCGTGGTGGTTTTGTTTTGGGGGGAAAGAGCGGGAAATACAGCTGCAACTGCCAACTGCACGTAGCAGCTCCGGAACCCCGCACCCAGAAAACAGGCAGATCAGGGAGTTTGTGTGTGTATGTGTGTATGTGTGTATGTGTGTATGTGGGACGGGGGGAAAGGTGGAGGAGGAGGGTTCGGACGGGGAACAAGCATGGCGTGCACGTGTGCGCGCGTGTGTGTGCGTTTGTATGTGTATGTATGAGTGCGTGAATGCATCCATGCAGACAGCCTGTCTGATTCGGTGCTTTTTTGTTTTAACTTTTTCACGCGCAGCACTTCCTTGGCGTCTTCACCATCAGGTGCATAGGTTTTTTTTACTAAATTTAGTAATTGCGGGTTAGGGGAGCTGGTCGCCTCCTAAAAACCAGTCCCCTCCTCCTTCTGCTCCCATCACCCCCCCCCCCGCCGTGTGTCTCAGGTTCACCTATGGTAACCTCCGCCGTACTCTCTGCCGTACCGTTCATACCTTAAACTCGTTGTCAGCATTATACGATGCTCTGCGAGCTGCCTCATTGGCCATACTGCTCGTCAACATGTACATCGGGAATCCAAAGAATTGTCGGTTAAAACCCGCGCCGAATGGATTCCAGGGGTACGACCGGTTGTCGTACAGCGCGTACTCGGCGCTTGGAAACTTAGCTGCCGTGGAATAGTGTGCCGGACGACCTGCCGACAGACGGTTGGGCGGTTTCGTTTCCGTTTTTACAGTTTCCTGCCGTGATCAGTTCGTTAGTCCGTTAGATAGATCTCTCCATGTAGGTGCTCGAATCCATACTGGATCCAATCCTTGCAAATCCTACCTAGCTGACGTGGGCAGTACACTGTCCAATACCGTGTTGGTTGTACAGAATCCGACAGGACAGTACGTTCCATATGGGGCGCCGGCAGCTGCATTGGGCCCCACCTCAACCCTCCGTGGTTACTCCCCCCACATCACCCCCCCACATCACACACACCCCACATCACACACACACCGCATCAACCCCCACATCAACCCCCCCACATCAACCCCCCACATCAGCTAGTAACTCTTTTTTGTGACCTAGCTAGCCACGTCGCCGCGACGACGACTACTTCCCAAGTCACGACTGGTTGGCAACTTCTTAAATGTTCCTGCTGCAGTATCTATCTAATCTAATCCTGTGCGGATTATCCGTCTATCTCTGGTGTCAGCTTCAACCGTCAGTGCTTCGTCTAACACCCCTCCACACACCCCTCCACACATACACACACGCCCCAATCTCCCCTCAACCTCCCGGGAGAAGAGAGTCTTTTCCCCCACCACCTGTCAAACCACGCAACCCCCCATTCCCTAACCCCACTCACCCGCAGTGGGGTCCACCAATACACCTGCCACCCGACTATGAAGCTCCGAATCCGACAGCAGCAGCGACAACAGGGTGCTCACCTCAGCAGCAGGAACCACCACCACACGTTTGCCTAGGGGGGAAGGGGGGAAGGGGGGAAAGGGGGAAGGGGGGAAAGGGGGAAGGGGGGAAAGGGGGAAGGGGGGAAAGGGGGAAGGGGGGAAGGGATGGAGGGGGTGGGGGGAGGGGAGTTATGTGCAAGAAGCGAAGATAGGACGGCCTGACGGGGTGAGCGAGAAGGGAGGGAAGGTGGGACCCCCGGGGACGGGGAGAGGGGAAAGGAGCGTGTGCGTGTGTACGTGTGTACGTGTGTGTGTGTGTGTGTGCACGTGCGCTTCGCACGCGTCAGTCATCATGTGCTGAAGGAGACTTGAGCGGCGGTTTCCAAAGGTAGACAGATAGACAAACCGACAGACAAACAGATCTGGAGTAAGCTCTTGAATGGGCCGTGAAGGCAATCGCAGGCTGCCGTGTATAACTTTGCGGCCTGTGCGGCGGTGGCTTGGCACTGTGCCGTGAAATGCTGCTGGGGGGGGAGGATTGGGGAAAGGCTGCGGATTCTTGGGCCCACGGTGTGCAGCCACAGCCGTCACGACCTACCTTTGTACGGTATCCACAAATCTTTCCTATGGACCAGTGGCGCAGTGACCAGCTCCTCGTTTGGAGCTGGAGATTCAGCGTGTAGTATGTATATGGTAAGGAGATGGAACGTTACTCGTTGGCGGGCGAGGTAGCCTTTTTCCTTTTCCGAAGCGGAGGTTTACCTACCTTCGCATCCTTGAGGACCCGAGCTGGTCATGAGCTTCACGCAGGCCCTATTGTCTGTCAATTCAACATACATGGCCCCTTTCAAGCCCTTAACTTTCTTCCACCCTTGTCCATCATCTATGCCTAAGCACAGCACTGATAAGGTGGTAACAGATAAAAAGCACAATATGAAACTGCGCCGAAGCATGTCGCCTAGAGGAGCTTAAGACACCTCAAGCACATTCGGTGCAGAACTTGTAGTTGATTACTAGGTAGGAGACAGGGAAATAGTTAGTTTAAAGAAAGCCTAGAGGCTTTGTGAGCCAGTGACGCTTGTTCTCCTGAGAGCGTTCATAGGTAAAATGGACCTTCAGGCCATGTTATGCTACGTTGATTTTCAAAAGATGAAGTGTTTCTCCAATCCTTGTAAAATCACAAAGCAGAATCGGAAGCCTGTGACAATGCCTCTCAGCCAACGGTAAACGAGCTTCCCATACTATCGTACGATTGAACATATCGAGTTGATGAACCAGACGTGCTCCTTGTGCGATTGAAGCGGTTCATGAGCCTTCGGGTTCGTCTAAACCGTACGAGCTCGCTGAAGCTTGTAACATCCATAATGGAATATCCATTCATCAAGAAATGTGCGATAATTTTCGACTGATGAATGATACAGCTTAGGGAGGGCTCGCAGAATGCTCCCAAGACGACAGGACCCGCCGCTTGGCTGATGGAGTAAGGCAAGGCGGACAGGCATGCCTGGGGCGTGGAGAGGTTGGGTGACCCTTAGTTTCATTCATAGCAGGGTTCTGTTTCTTTGTCAAATGGCCCATATTTAATTGATTCGTTACTTTAAGCATGCACGGCCTACATACTTGCTGGACGCGCCGGCGCACTTCAGGACAGGGCTCTCTTCAGGATATAAGTATCGCCTAAGTGGGAAGTTCACACACAGAAAGAGACAGAACCATATAGTTGTCTACGCAATAATGCCTAATGCAAATTGCTGATAGCTTCAAAGCTGGTTTCGGAGACGAGGATGGGAAGTTCGGTCAAGGCTACATATGACCATGTTTTCCTGCTTTTGCACTTTAACGTAACGCATCAGCCAATGTAAATTGCCTGTAACCTGTGTAACTTGCAGATGCCTTGGAGTCCAAGCAAGAAAGCACATCTCATAATTGATTTAAGCCATCCATGTAGCACTCATTTTGATACATTTTGTGGCTTTGCAAATCCAAAATGTTAATTTATTCAAGCGCTCAACAGGCCCTTGTACCATGACCCGATAGCGATAAAGTTTGCAAGTCCCGTATTTCTGGGTAGATCGCGGACGTATGTGGGTGACATTTCGATTACGTCTGGGAGGGAGCAACGCGCGCAACTTCACGTCCCCGCACGCGTCCCCGCTTTAAAGGCTGCAATCAATCAATGTGGCGAAAGTATAATGGTCTGGGCTGCTGAGGACCATGAAACGCATTATAAATTTGCTCTGCGGTATGGACGACTGTCGCAGGTTGCCTGATAAGGAGGCTCTCCTTTAATCGACGCAAGCACAGACCAGCCCGTAGCTTTGAAGATTTGACCAGCTTGCAGCCAAAGCACCCCTCTTTCACTTAACTCCTAACCTTGAAACCTAAAAGCTCGTTGCAGCTAGCATCGGAGACAGTTTCGACAGTACTGCGTCCTCAGAGCGACTCGACTGGTGCGCAATTCTTCCAAACGGCCATCCAAACTTCCCGTCATGTTACAAGGTTTCGCTCCTTTACTGATGGTGAACTCATAGATTTATGCTCATAGCTGACCGTATACTTTCGCATTTATAACCACACACATATAACCAGGGCCCCGGAATCGCCATTCCAGGCTTCGGATAGCGCCTGGAAATTTGCTGTAGGTACATTTCACGTATTCCAGTTTCCGTGAACTTTTGGATTGTTTGAATAGGGTTAACAATAATCAGTCCTGGTGGTAGCAGCAGTACAGGCCAAAAATGCGCCAACAAGCGACAGTTACCCGGGGTAATCAAGTAATTGCCCGTGGGGCTGCGTAGCACGTGAAAGGGCCCCACATCCTAGTCTCCACCGTCTCCATCCCCAACCCAGGTGGGAACATTCGTTCGAAGATATACGCGGAGGATGGGGCGTGTGGTGGTTGGTCCGTGCAAGTGGGTTGGTAGTTGGAACGTCGTTACTTGGCTTTCGTTTTTTGGTTGTCGTTAGTTGTATGAGGGCGAAAGAGGTACGGCGGAGCGCCCTGCATGCGGCCTGATTGCCTGATTTACACCTCTTCATTGGTTTGACCAGCCTGTTGGATCCAATGTCTACACGTCTGCTGGTCCGTCTGCCGTGTCTACTTAACTGTCACGTGTATCTATCTGTCTGTTTTGCATGTGGGTAGGTAGGTAGGTAGGTAGGTCGACTTACCTCCCCTGAATTTCTCCCGGGCTGCACCTTATGTTCGACCAGGTAGCCGCCGAACGCCGTCGTCGGCTGCTGGTGCTGCATCCTGCATGGCTACTCTGCCGCTTTATGGGAGCATATCACCGGACATGCAACATTACCCCGTGAACCCAGGTAGTGATAAACAAGGTTAATATCCCACAGTTACTCGTACATTGGTCAAAACCATGGATCCACGCCTATCACACTACTCCTACCAACCTAACCAACATAAGCACTGTCCCGTCTTGCGTCGTCTTCTCCCCAGCCATGCGGGTCCGGAACACAACAGAACACAAAGGAACACAGCACTACACGTCCTGTTGAACCATTCAGAATCCGCCGAGGGGTTCCACCCAAAGGTTAGCCAAAGGGTTGCCATCCCCCGTAGTGACACCCCCCCAAGGGGGAAAACGGGAGGCCTCGGGCCGCGTCGGGTAGGTCAACGCGCAGTACAGGCCAGCGTTCAGGGGCGAGTTTATTGTGGCTCCCCTTTTCCCCTAGCAAGGTTTTTCCCGTGCTTTTGATATCATATCCTCCTAGAGAGACTTCGCTGTGGAGAGGCCTAAAGACCCTAGGCATGGGAACGTCTGGGGGTGTTTGGAACTGAACGTGCACGCAGGGCTGCCCATTGGCCCCTTCACATAAAGAGATTTAAGTGTCTGGAGTGGTTTGTTACATATCGATCGACCGATGACCAACTTGGGTTCTTTTACCCAACTTGAGGTAAGGCCAGAATTGGTAGCAAAGTCGCCGAAGCCCTCCGCAGCCACCAATGCAGCAGGCGGACTGCCGCAGGTGAGGGGCCCCGAAACCAGTTTTTAGGATATAGGTCGATGTAAATTTTGATGCCTTTGCATGGTGCTGGCGGGAGCGCCTCTGCGTGGGAAAGACATGGCCTTGTCTGGTCTGGGCCTCAGCCGGTTACTGGGGGTTACTGAGGTTAAAAAAGGGAAGGTGCAAGAGCGCAGGAGACGCAGAGGGCTCCTCTTTGATACTCCATGAAATCAGGAGAAAGAGGTGGAGGAGGACGAGGAGGAGGGAGCGGGAAGGGGTTGCAGTCGGGAGTTGTTTTTATTAACCGACCCGGCTGCAAGCCTCCCGCCACGCCGCCCGACCAATGCCGTCGGGATACTCTTACTAGACGATCTCTTCCATATATGCCTTATATGGCAAAGGACGGTTCCGACACAAAAATCTTAACTTGCGGCTTTGTCACTGTGGTAGCCGTGGCGCTCGACGACGGGCCCGATCATTATCGCGTCGCGGAAGGCACAAATTGTCTCATTGGCGTAACGGCTCCCGGCGGTTCTGTACGCGTACCATCCTGCGGTGTCTCTTTTCCTTGTGACCAAGTTCCTCAACCCCATATCGCAATTCGGCGCATCTTACATCGATTCGTCAACGCACACACGACCTTTCAGCAGGGCTTTTGATTAAGAGGATAGGCTGGTTTCTGCATGGATCTGCGACTCGTTGTATTACACGGGTGGCAGCTGCGACATTGCGTTCGCTCCGTACTGCAGGCAACTGCAGCGGCAGTTTCATGGGACAAACTACGAAAAGCCAATTTCAAGAGTCGCAGTTTTTATTTGATGATTCTGGCTTCAAATTATTACATCACCTATGGCGCATGTTCCGTCGTGGCGATCTGTTATGCTACAGTACGTCAAAGGGACGTACGCGAACATCATATCTTCGTAAAGATAGCTCCCACACCGATTCATCAATTTTCTTGTGATCAATTTTCTTATTGATGATCCTATTTACAAGCTGCCCCGCAATCATAAGGGACGTATGATGTCTGGGACGATACGACGAAAAAATGGTTCGGCGCATTTGTGACTGTTTTCCCGCTATGTATCCGTGGACATAGAAATGACAGTTCAATTATTTATGTGTAGTATTATTGCCGATTAAGAGAGCAAGCTCCTGGAGTTGGTTGAAGGAGAGCATGCAAGGCGAAATGGAGGCTTCGGGGTCGTCACACATATGAAGACAAGTATGCACGTCCCAAAGCTCCGCTACAACGCGGTATTCATTTTTGGCTTGCGACAGCTCGTCCACCGACTAACCTGGAACCATTTGCGTAGCTTGCTTACTCTTAAAGCTACAAACGTATTAAAATCTGGATTTTCCGCGGTGCGTCAGCTTTACTTGAATCCAGGATGGGCCCTCGTCGCCGCAGGCCAGTACGGCAACACGATGAGACCGGCGAATGACTCTTACATGGGATCCACCTCTTTCCTCCCACACAACCTCACTATATTTTTGAAGGACCCACAGTCAGCCACAGCGATTTGCCGCTCACATTACGCAACAATTTACGGACAAAACAAGTGGCGCTCGCTATGAGAGAACCAGCCATACCAGGCCTGCTTATTAGCGATGAGGTCACCTCCATGCTTTGCGACCCCTGAAGGGCTGGACTTTCCGCTTCTCTGCAGAATTGCAGAGACCGGTATCGTTTCGTCACGCACTGCGTTCCTAACTTTCTGCGTATTTTACATATTGACTTATTATGGTAAGTCCCGGATATTTGAGTTCGGGGTCAATCGAAGGACGTACTTTTACGCTCGGTGCAAGGGGGAGCGGGGAAAGGGAAGGGATTATAGATTTTGCTTCGTAAGATGAATATAAAAGTAATCATTTTGGGGCATTTCTCTTTGTATGCGTATATTAGTAAGCTCAACATAGCGATGCAGTCGTGGCAGGTCCAGAGATTCTAGACTCGAACTGTTACTCTGGCCTAACTTTATTGTCCAGTCTCAAATTGAGCACAGTGAGACGTGGCACACTGCATCGTTTAATCACGCCATACGGTGTCGGTGCGCTGATGTGGGCGTACCAGACACGAAGGGGCATGTTTGGCATTTGCTTGGAAATTTATAATCGCTGCAATAATTGTCCAACTGAGGCACAGTGGCAGCGATCGCGGACTCAGGCAGCTCGCGTCCGGGGCAGCGAGCCCACATGGAGCCTTCGCTGCTTGCTGGAACGACGCGGATATCTCCTAATCATATCTCCACAACCCCAATTTAAACAAAATAATCGAGCAGCATTCTCTCGCTGCACTGTCTTGTGGACTTTTCTTTGGTGCTGCATCTAACTAAACACATCCAACAGCGTCCACCATCGCTCCACATCGCGGCTTTCCGACCTCCCAATTCACAAAGCTTCCTGGGATTTCTTCTGGTTACTTACGGTCTCGTTAACCGATGTCGGGGCAAACAGCAGTGCGCCGTTCCATCGTCCGCTACCCGTCAGCCATACGAAGGCCTGTGCCCGCGTTCTGTCAAATTAGCAACCGCGAGCGTCTTTATGAAGCCGGTACACTTCAACATGAACTTTCTGAAGCGTGGAAAATACTTTCGTCGATGAGCTGTAGGCACCGTTGACGTCCAGGATTTTGCTGTACAATGCATCCCCCCTCCATGGCCACTGGCATCCCATCATCATTTTCTCAACGCCGCCGTGTTTGTCTCACATTGATCTCTTGCATGCTCTGAACTGAACCCGATCGATCCTTTTATTTGTTGCCACTTCTAAAAATGTTACAATCGTGTCATCGGGATACATCAGATTTGTGCAACCGCGCCCCCCGCGGATCCCTTTCCTCCATTTCGGCCCCCCTCCCAGCAATTGGAGTCCGCTTCTCAGCCGCCGCCGGCGGAGCTCTCTACGCAGCCGGCGGGTTCAGAATCAGGGGACCCCCCCCCGCTCCACCGTTTGTTTGTGGGTTCGGTGCCGCGGACCGCAGTGGAGGCCACTCTACGCGAGTACTTCGAACAGGTAAGGAAGGATTGGCTGGCAGCCGTACCCACCTAGGTCGGGAAACATAACAACTCCATCTTTTTACACATGTGTGCTCTCCTGGGTGCAAAAGGTTGCATTCCCGACGGGCCATTTCAATTTTCCAATAGACCACAGTCGTAAACAGGCTAAAGTGTAAAGTCCGAACGGCATATTTCATATGCCCTGTAAAAAAAACACAGCTTGGATCCACCAGGGGCCCTGGTTCGCCTTGACCTTACGAGCGCAAGCTTGCCACATGCAATGTAGGAATGTATAAATAAGTAAATGCATTTGAAGATATATAACTTTATGGCCCCGTACGTACTGTACGTGCCGTACACGCAGTGTGGCGTGGTCCGGGACCTGGCCGTCCTGCGTGACCGTACCTCGGGCAAGTCCCGGGGCTGTGCGTTCGTGAGCTATCTAACGTTGGAGGAAGCGGAGGCAGCCATCCAGAAATTCGACCGGCAACTCATGCTGCCAGGGTCTCAGACCCCGCTGGAGGTGGGTCGCAAGCTGCGGCGCTGAGGCAAATTTGGCGTCTGATGACATGGGGGGATGAAGTGGTGGATGTGAAAGGGTGAGGGGACCTGGGACATACATGGGTCTGCGTGTTTGAAGGGTTTGAAGGGCTGTTGGGCCTTTTTTGTGGGCTTTGGCTTTGCAGTTAGGAGCCTGCCGTGTTAGGCAGCTAGGTAGGTGTTGACGAGGGCGGGTGGGAGGGAGTCCGCCGGGCAGCTACGCCCCAGACCAAACACATGGGCTGCTTGATGCACGAGGCCATGAGGCCATGAAGACAGCAAAGGATAAGGAACCACTTGAAGACATAAAAGCAAGGCGTGTGGGATAGAGGGGTACCCTCTTTGTGGCGTGTCTGTCTTCTTTCGTGAAGTCCATGACACTCATACGTATGTATGTATGTATTATACATACAGGTCCGCTTTGCAAAGAACCATTCATACGTTCAAGCTGGAGAGGGCCCTTCAGGCAACCGTCAGATCTTCTTCTCCAGGGTTCCCCTAACCCTCAAGGTATGCCACCATGTTGCGTACGAGGTGTGAATGCTCCTGCCCAGTGCCCCTTGTCGCGGTTCCTTTCCATGTATGCATGTCTTTACAATGGCAAGGCACAACGCAAAAAAACATGTCCGAAAACGCAGGAGGATGAGATTTTGTCGCTTTTCCTCGCGTATGGAGAGGTGGAGACCATTAACGTGTTCAAGTGCCGTAGATCAGGCAGAAGCAAAGGTTGCGGCTTCATAGAGGTGAGGACCGAAACCCTAGGGAATGGCCCGATCCCTCTTGCGAGCCATTAGTACCCGTGTTCACATACATACATACATACATACATACATACATACATACATACATACATACATACATACATACATACATACATACATACATACATACATACATACATACATACATACGTCATACATACATCATACATACATACATACATACATACATACATACATACATACATACATACATACATACATACAGGAGGAGAGTGCTTCGGCGGTCGTTCCCGTTGGGGTATACGGTTAGGTGCCCCTAAGCAGCGTCAGGCCCAGATCGATATGGCACAAAAAAAACTTACACACACACGCACACACCTTCCCTCCGCCTCTCCCTCCATCTCTCCTACCTCACATACGGACGGATGCAAATGCCGCTGGACCTGCCAAAGGCCATGTCGGGGGCCGTGTCAATGTGCGTAAGGGGGCGACAGACCGACAGATTGACAGACAACGTTGGCTCCTTGGTTGCTTGCCCATCTGAAGCTTCTGAGGCATCTTCTCCATATTTCCCTTACACACGTCCATGTGCGTCCACGAATTCCCCAATCTCTCAATTCCCCCCCCCCCCACACACACACACACCGTGTTGCGGCGTCCTCCACTTCACCTGCACCATGCAATCACACCCGGGGCGCCATGTACAGATGAGGACCCGGGAGGCGGCCATCGCAGCTATGGAGAACCTCGACGAGCGGCACGTGTTCGATGTAAGTTAGTTAGCTGGCTGTTAGTTGTTGTTGGTCAGTGTGCCGATAGGACGGCTGGTTATATCGTAGGATATTGGTGGTGTGCGCGTGGTGTGCGCGTGGTGTGCGCGTGGTGTGCGCGTGGTGTGCACGACGCGGAATGCATGACATGGATTTTAGGCACATGCACACCTGAGGCGTATGTTTTCGTGTGTGCTGCGACACGACAGCAGACAGACAGCAAGACGGAGAGAGAGAAGCAGCGAAGGATTCGTCGCGCTGTGCGGCGGTCTTCAGATTCCTTATGCTGTGGCTGTGTTTGTTTATGTCTGTGTGCGCGTGTGTACGTGTGTACGTTACCTTGCCCAGAACGGTGAAACAGCCGGACGACTTGAAAGCACCCGCGTGTAACCGCGACTTTCTTATTAGGGTTAGCCAAATGCCTTGTCGTCTAATTGGCGGTGCGCTAATGGATCAACGAGATTTCCACTGTCCCTGTCTACTATTGAGCGAAACCACGGCCAAGACTGAGGGTGTGTGTAACAGCATGTAAGATGACATGAGCATACTTGCATGCATACATTCATTCATTCATTTATTCATTCAAGGGTCTCCTTCTCTTTCCGTTCCCGCGGCTGGCTCGGTTGGTTTCTACCGCGGCCGGATATCCTTCCGTTGTGCTGTGTGTTTCTTCTGAATTGCTCTCCTGCCTTGTCTTGGTGTACCAGAGCACGGGAACCGCCATTTCAGTTCGTTGGGCTGATCCGGACTTGCAACAGCGTAAGAAGAAGGCTATGGACGATGCCAATGCGGAGAATCGGATGGTGGGTGCAACGTGCGACATGCAGTAAGGACACACGGACATGCAGTTCCGCCCACAGAGACCTTTCCTCTTCTTCCTCCTTCCATGTGTACTTCGGTCGTTTGCGCGCATGGGCACCGCGTCCTGCCACCACCCGCCTGTGTGGCTCTAGTTTTCGTCCACTTCCGCGAACAAGTACGATGCACGCAACTTACCTCATCCCTTCACCCCTCCGCACATCCTAAATCGATCATCTGCTGCTGGCTGCTGCTGGCTCTCCCTACTTGGGCCCCAATCCGATCCGTATTCCGCCCACCTGCCCGCGGCAGCTGTTCTTCGCGAAGGTCCTCCGGTCTACAACAGAGGACGACGTGCGCCGCCTGTTCTCGCGCTTCGGCAAGGTGTACGACATAAACTTGTTCCGGGCCTTTCAAGGTGCACCTACAACCAAGGTGGGAACGGCCCACGGGGCCCGGGTATGGCGTGTATGTGTGGGGTGGGTAGGTGTGTATGGGGGGGTGTAAGTGGCAGCAGTGAGCCATAGGCATACACGTATGTGTATATGTATGCAGGTTGGTAGGTTGGTTGGTAGGTAGGTAGGTAGGTAGGTAGGTAGGTAGGTAGGCAGGAAATGCACGTATTTACAGGTGGTGGTGGTTAGGTAGGCAGATTGGCTTACGGGTAGATTTGAGGATAGATCTGAGAGGAGGTTTGAGTGAGAAGGTAACCTTTGTTGTTCCGACCACGTCCGGTCAATAAATGATTCTAAAGTGAATATGTCACATCACGGTCTGGACATCTCGGGTATCTCCAGCTGGCGGATGCTGGCCTCTGTGCCAATAGCTCTAAACCCTAAGTCCTTTCCTGATAGGGCAACATGATACAACAGACCTCTGCGTTTATCTGTATGTCAACACCCATCTGGTCAATGAACGGTATGGTGCCGGGACGGGCCGAGGGTGCTCCCGACCCTCTAGCCATCGGTAGACACGTATGGTGGCTCACCTGCCGATTAGCAGCTATGAGAGGGCTTGAACAGGCCATGCCACTACCCGGCTGGCAGGGCCAACCCCGTCGACACATAGAGCTCAAGCGGACAGAGCTTATCTAGGCGCTATTTGTACTGCTACCAAGCCAGCGAGACAGTCTACACTCAGGAATCCTTGTAAACCTGCTAGATGCGGCTTCAGGTGCCGTGGCTGAGCCGGCAGGATGAACTAGCTAACTAAGGAAAACGGAGCTGATCCCTCAGCTTGAGGAGCTCACCAGGCAACCAATTTCCCGCTGTGTCGATATGTAGCCATCCCGGCCACTTAACGTCTCTGCAATAGCAACGGCACGAGCACCCCTGGCACACCCCGAACCCACCCCTCCCTGACACGCCGGCGGACCTACCTAGGGCTGTGGACTGGTGACCATGTCGCAGCACTCTGACGCAGTGGCCGCCATTGCAGCTCTCGACGGCATTCATGTGTGGGAGGGCATGGACTGCCCCATGGTAGTCAAGGTGGGTGGCAGTTGGTGGTGATGGGTGGGTGAATGGTAGTGGGTGGTGGTGGGTGGGTGAGGAGGGTGAATGGTAGTGGGTGGTGGTGGGTGGGTGAGGAGGGTGAATGGTAGTGGGTGGTGGTGGGTGGGTGAGGAGGGTGAATGGTAGTGGGTGGTGGTGGGTGGGTGAGGAGGGTGAATGGTAGTGGGTGGTGGTGGTAGGGGTAATGGGTGTGGATGTGGATACGGAGGATGAGGGGACGAACAACGATTCCAGAGAAGCGAAACACAACCCGTTAGCGTTCAAGTCAGTGGGCAATCTTGCGAGTAACTTAGGAAAGCACACGACAGGCATATCGCGCGCGCGTCAGGAGTGGCCAGATCTGGTTGCTTGGGATTCGCAACCTTACCGAAGCGCTTTGCAAGCCTCAGCTTGACCACTGCTTAGGAATTTCCTTGATTTTGAGGAAGCGAGCAGCCTTTGCTGCCGCTGCCATCTCGCCTCTATCCATCCATCCATCCATCCATCCATCCATCCATCCATCCATCCATCCATCCATCCATCCATCCATCCATCCATCCATCCATCCATCCATCCATCCATCCATCCATCCATCTATCTATCTATCTATCTATCTATCTATCTATCTATCTATCTATCTATCTGTCCACCTGTCCACCTGTACTACCTCCCCACTTGCAAGTGTCTCCCCTCCGCCGCCCTATCTCTGCGGTGATACCATTGATGCCGACCCACCCACCCACCCGCCTGATATGTCCACCTACCTACCGCTGTAGTGGATGGACACCGCGTTACAGCGGCGCCGCCGCGAGCAGCACCTTGCCAACATTCGGCAAACACCCCTTCCCTCCAGCAGCATCGGGGCGCTGCTGGGCGGCCAGGGGCCGCCACCAGACCCCCAGCAGCAGCAGCCGCAACAACAGCAACAACAGCAACAACAGCAACAACAACAACAACAACAACAGGAGCAGCAGGAGCACCGGAACCAGCAGCAACAACAGTTATCATACCAGACGGTACAGCACCAGCACCACCAGCAGCACCAGCAGCACCAGCACCAGCAGCACCAGCACCAGCACCAGCACCACCAGCACCACCAGCAGCAATGTGGGTACAAGAAGGGAACAAGAAGGGGAGCACAGGAGGGCGTTCTCAGGGACCTGGGAGTCCTCCCAGGATTGAGCCGAACCGATCCCAGATGTGCGACATTGATGTAGCTTGCCCTAAATTCGGGATGATGTCGGGTCCATCTGGACGGATATGCGCCGGGCTAGGTGGAAGGGGAGGTGGGGGGAGAGCAAGGGACGACGGACCCGTGCAGGCAAAATGGGAGTTGCAAACGGGATTGGGCAATTTTCTAAGTTCTCCATGAATGTGCATCCGCCGTGTCGCCATGGCTGGCGGTGCTGGTGTCCGCCTGTTTGCTGTCTCATCATTACTTCATTACCCCTGCAGCTGCTGTTGCTGCATCTGCTACTGCTGCTGCTGTTGCTGCTGCCTCCCCTACTGTGCTACTGCTGTGCTGCTGCTGTGCAACTGCTGCTGCTGCTGCCTCCTCCGTGGACGCTTCGCTTGACTGTGACATTGCACGCGTCCCCCGTTCCGTGCTGTCAGTGCAAACAGTGATACAGTTGGGCGCACAGCCTGCAAGGGTCGCCTCCGCCTCCACTAGCGGCGGCGGCGCCGTCGGCCCCGGCGCCGGGCTCACAATCGTTGCGGAACCGCCGCCAGCGGGGCACCTGCAGCCTCCGGCAGTGGCGGCGGCGCACCCGCCGCTGGGCAATAACAGCGGAGCTGGCGGCGGCGGCGGCGGCGGCGGCGGCCTGATAGCCGACCTTACCGTCTTCCCGGCCGCGGATTCCGCGGGCGGGCCCCCCCTAGAGCTTCCGCCGCCGGGCTGCAATCCCGATGTCGTCAAGCTGTTCATTGGTAACATTCCCAGAGGATGCACGGAGAAACACCTGCTGGCCTTGTTCCAAAGCATTGGAAAGGTACGGTACGGTACGGTACGCACGATTCAGGAAACGGTGCGGGGTGCAGGGCATCTACGGAGCAGGGCAGGCCGCGGTGATGCTAACGGTGCGGGGTGCCGTTTACTGCCGGGTTGTGGTGTTTGGGCTGCCGGTTTGACCCTATATCCTGACCAAATGATGAGCGCCAGCAATGCATCGATCCTGAACCCAGCCCCCAGGCCCCAGCCCCCAGGCCCCGCCACCCTCTCACTCACTCCCGGGTTATGCCTCATGCATGTTTTAAATGGAAAAACATATGTAGTATCAAAGTACTGAAAAAGGAATATTTCTTCTCTGTACTGTCACTCCAGAATCCCCTAGCACACACGCACACAACAGCAAACATCTACGGCTAAGAGTTATGTATGTGTACGTTCCATCCTTTTGCTATAGCTCCAGCTGCCCTCTGATCACTAAGTTATCACGATTAGTACTGCATCTACTGTGCAGGTGGTGGAGCTCGTCATTATGTACGACAAGGTGACGCGCGAGCCCAAAGGCTCGGCCTTCGTGTGGTACGCCACGCGCGAAGACGCGGAGCGCGCTATCCTGCAGTTTAACCTCAGACCGGTGTTTCCAGACCCATCCGGGGCACAAGATCGCCCCCTGGTGGTGCGTAAGGCGAAGGCGCGGAGCAGCCGGATGGTGGTGTCGGCGGCGAGCATGTATGCGGCGGCGACGACGCTGGGACAGGTGCGGCTCTGACGGTGATGTGCGAGGACTGTAGGTTGGTGTGTATGTGTGTATGTGTGTATGTGTGTATGTGTGTATGTGTGTATGTATGTGTCCCTTCCTTCCCCACATCCATCCATCCCGTCCTTCCATTCCTGTCCCGGCAGCAGGCAGCGCCACTTGGCGCTATGCCGTACACCCAGCGCTTCGTTAACGTCGGCGGCGACGGTGGCGCTGGCAGCGCTGGCAGTAGCGGCCTAACGGTCCTGTCACTACCAGCTGCCATGGAGGGCTTGCAGATCGTGGACGGGTCCGCGTTGGGAGCGGGCATCGGTGCTAGCATGGGGGTAAACATGTCTGTGGGCGTGAGCGGCGCCCCGGCGCAAGTGCCAGGGGCCGCGGTGGCGGCTGGGACGGCCGCCGGGCCGCATCCGGGGCTTATGCACGCGGGACAGGTACCGGTCGTTGGCGGCGGCGGCGGCGGCGGCGGTGGCGGTGGCGACGGCAGCCGCATGGGAGCTGGGGGTCACGGCCGCGGCATGATGGGCATGGTTGCGCTCGCGCCGTCTGGGGCGATGGCGGCGGGGCTGTACGATGCGTACGGAACAGGTATGCGTGGGAGCTTGGCGAGAATTGGGATTGGGAGCGGGTTTAGGTTTAGGGGGTGGGGGGAGGCGCTAGGGCTGCAGCTCGGGCGTACATGTCCGGAGATACTCCCCCGGGCGAAAATCCCCTTACACCATCTTATTCCTCATACGTTTATTCATCCCATGGCTGTATCTGCTAGGGTACAGTAAAACGGTTAAGTTACCCCTCCGCAACTCTGTAGGTGAACACCTCCTCGCGGACTTTGGAACTGCCGCCGTACTACCGGCTAACCAGACAGCCTCCGTTTCTGCCGCCAGCGGTGGCGCCGGCGGCAGCAGCGGCGGAGGTTACGCTGTGCTGCTCCCCTCTGCCACCGGCTCTAACCAATGGGATGCCGCCGCCGCCGCCACGGCTGCAGTGGCGGCGGCGGCTGCGGCCGGCCTGACCGGAAATGGCGGC